GAGACGGAGCAGTCGCACCAGGGACAGTCTCAGCAGTCCCTTCCCCTTGTCCTCCCTGTCGGGGAGGGGAAAAGTCGGGGTTCCTCCCCAGGCTCTTCGGATGGGGCTATGGGGGATGCATGGGATTGGGGGCATCCAGTCTCCCCAGATCTTGCAAGGAGGATGCCCTGGGAGGCGTACGAATGGGGCAAATTCCCTCCCTCTTCAGCCTGCACAAGGTCTGGAGACAGACGTGCCTTGGCGTCAGGGTCCCGAAGGGGCAATGACAGGCAAGGAAGGATGGTGGGATGGGGTCCCCCTTCCCCTGGCCTGCAGGCAGGGCAGAGGAGCAGCACAGTCTGGCAGGGGGCCGAGCTGCCCAAGAGAGGGGGCAGAGGTCTGGCAGAGGCAGGGGGACGGGGGACCAGGCGAAAGCAGAGGGCTGGCGGGGGCGGGGGGGCGGGGCCCCAGGCTGGTGAGGCTGCGGGTGAAGGGTGGAGTGCGGAGCGTCCTTACAGCTGTCGGTGTCGTTGGCCACGGCAATGATGCCCATGGGCTGCTGCGGGATGTCAACACGCAGAAGCTTCATGTCAGTGCCCACGTACTTGTTGGCTCGTTGCACAGCCCTGCGCACCCAGTCCGTCCAGAAGATGTAATCGCCGTAGACGGCCAGGCCAAAGGGGTGCACGGGCTCCGATTTCAGGATCACCTGCCGGACATTAGCACACGGTGTGCACGAGGGAAGCCGGCTGTGGGACGCAGTCCCCAGCACCGCTCCCAAACGCTGCGTGTCCCTGTGTGTCTGCCCCAGGGGGAGGCCCGACCCCTCCCCATGCTCTGCTTTCCTCTGACAACGCGCCAGCCCCAGTTTTGACATTCACCGCTCTCCTCCCCCATCTCTGCTGATGGGGCCAGGTCTGGACTCACGTAGCGGTGGGAGCCATCATATTCACAGCGTTCGATTTTGTCCAGCGTAGCATCAGAGAAGTAGATCTTCTCAGCCCTGTGGTCAATGGCCAGCCCGTTGGGCGTCCGTATGTCCTGGTCAATGATGATGAGGACGTTGGCACCAGACAGGGTGGCACGCATGATGCTGGGGTGCTGCTCATTCCAGTTGGTCCAGAACATCAGGCTGGGAGGGGAGAGACATGTGATGCCTTTGCAGCCCCAGCTCTCTACACGTTGGCTCAGCCCACCCCTCCGCTGCTGGGGGGCGTCCAGGGACTTTGGGATAGATGGGACACTGTCCCCGCACAAAAAGGGGTGGGAGGTGGATGAATGAGGCCACTGCAGCCAGCTGGGAAACACGGTACCCCATGGTACCAGCTGGCCAGAGAAGGGGATGGAAGGGGGCTTCTGTCTTTGCTTTGGGGTGCTGAAGGACATGGGGGGGGGCCACAGGGCCTTTCCTCTCTGGGGTCCAATACTTTCTGTGTTGGGAACCAGTGCTTCCTCCCCAGTGGAGGGGTGTCCGCCTGGACGCTGGCCCTGGGACCACGTGGACCCCCAGGGTGGGCTGGCTGGACGACCGATGGCCACTCACTTCTGACACTCATCCAGCACGAAGGCCCGGGGGTGATCGTCCCCCGACATGGTGATCACCGTCTCCCTCTCAAAAGCCCCCAGGCGGCTCTGGTCCACGGTGTGGCGGGTGATGGTGGAGGTAGTACAGCGTGTCCCAGCCGCGGTGGTACGCCAGCCCCTCCACCGAGCCCACATCTGCAGCAGGGGAGGACAGGCAAGGGTCACGTCCAGCCCGTGCTCCTGCGAGGCTGCCCAGCTCACTCCACGCAGTGCTGACTGCGACACTTGGACACAACTTCTTCGGCAGCCTGAAGTTATTGCTTTTAATTCCACCCCCAAAAAATCCCTCAGAGGCTCTGGCTGCTTGCTAACAGGGGGCCGAAGTGGCCGCACCTGAGGGGACCCAGCAGGGCTGGGCTGGTGCCTGTGCTAAGGTGGGAGCTGAGACCCCCGGAGACTTTCGGAGCCCCCTGGGCAGACCTCTGCTACCGACCAGGTGACAACACTTCCCTGCAGCAAGGCTGAGCGATGTTCACCTACGATGAAACGAGGACCTGAACCTGCCTTTCAGGCTCGTGCTCCGGTCATCTCCCCTGCGCTGGCCGTGCCTTGCTCTGGGACCCCCCGGCCCTCCAGCACTGGCGCTGGGAAGGGAAGGGTCTCCCTCTGCCAGGAGAGAGCTGAGGCCCAAAGGCAAAAAGTGACAAGACGACGGACTCGTGGCTGACCAGGGAGACCTTCCCTCCAGCTCCCAAGCCACGAACTTGGACTGTACACCCGTCCGTCCTCCCTCGTTAATGATCAGCAAAAGGTTTAATGAACCGGCTGTGAGAGATGGGCCCTGCTCTGCCGATCTCAGCGATCACAGCTATCCCAAGTGCCAAATGGAAGTACACTCATTAGCAAGCACATCTATAGCCCTTGCTGGAGGGGCTCCCTAGCGACGCAGAGCAACAGACGTGGTCTTTTCAACGGCTGCAGGAGCCAATAAAACCAACCAAGTGCAAATCAAGGGCTGGAGGTGAAGACAGGGCCAGGCGTGGCAAGGTTTCCTCAGGCTCAACGGGTCTGTCTCGGAAGTCAAGTGCAAACACAGAGCAGGTCCCAAGTTTGCTGCAGTGCCTTGTTTCTAGAGCAATGCACACCCGCGTGCACGCCTGAGCCTCGTGATACGCTCTCCTTGCCAGAACAAGCTCTGCAGACTGCTCCTGACACTTGCGTCCTCTAGCACAGGCTGCTGCCTCTTCCAGAGGCGCCGGTAGAAAGCTAAAAGCTGAACCCCTAAGAGCTGCCACTCAAAACGCCTCTCGAAAACACCGTGTTAACGGAGAAGAGGAAAAAAAGCCCTTGGGCGAGGAAGGAGGGAGCTCAGAAGAGGTGGCGGGGGAGAACAGAAAAGAGAGGTTTCAGGGCAGATGCATGCAGGGGGAGCCCGGTGACACTCACTCTCCACGATGGTCTTGCGCCCTGTGCCATCGTCGTTGATCTGCTGGATGTTGCCGAAGTGGATGTCGCTGTAGAATATGCGGTTGCTGCCCTTAGAGCCGTAGCGGTAGTCGAAGGCCAGGGCAATGACGTTCTTCATGTGCTCCGCATCCTCGAAGGGCTTGATGGGCGCATTGAGGTTGTTCTCGTCCGACAGGTGGATGCTCTTGAGGATGGTGCGCTCCGAATACAGCAGGTAGCCGTCGTAGTCCCGGCAGCTCACCCCATCCTCGGACAGCATGCCGTGGGCGCAGGCACACGTCCTCTGCCCGTTGCCCCGGAACAAGCAGAGCTGCTGGCAGCCCCCGTTGCTCTGGGCACAGATGTTGGTGCCTAGGGAGGAAAGGGGAGGGATTGTTCAAGGGACCGGGCAGGCTCTGTGTAGGAGGATGCTCCCACACGGCCACTTTTCACCTCTCTCCGCTCCCAGAGGAAGTGGGTGAAGAAATGGGCTCAGCCCACAGCGCGACACGGTTCTTTGATGAGGACACAGTGGTCCATTTGTTTCCATCCCCCTCCCTGCATCTGCTTGCTGTGGGAGCCCAGCCCGGGCTGCCATCGGCGCTCGGCAGCACCGCACCAGGGGCTGACACCCCGCTCCTGGACGCACCCTTCTGCCTGGCCCGGTTGAAGACTTTGATGTCCTTGAGCTGCACGCCGATCCCTGTCCGCAGGGACACTGACTCGGTGGCGTTGTCCTTGTTGCCTCTTTTGATGGAACCATTCGCATGAGTCCTAAGAAAGGACAGAGTCACTGAGCAACTGATGCGGGGCCCACCCCAGCAGCACCCCGCGGCACCCCAGCTCCACCGTCTTCCCCGCAGCACCC